CATTTGTTTGCTTATGTTAGTCTTGTTCTTTTTGATGCAGGGTCTCGATGTGCAGTTCAGGCTAGTCTTGAACTCACTATCTAGCCCAGGCTGGTTTCCAAGCGGGAGCCATCCTCCTGCCTCTGGCTCCTGACTGCTGGAATTACAGAACAGTGCTCTGGATGTTTCTTATAAAAGGAATTCTACAAAATACGACAGCTTTAGTAAACAGGTTTGAAGATCCAGTCCTGTATATGTCAATAATACTTCCTTTTTTGTTGGTAAATGACTTTCTGTTGTATGGATAGGCCGTATTTTATTTATAACCCATTGAATGGTGGACATTTGAGTAGTTTCTCGTTTGGCTATGAACACACATTAGCTTTGCCTGGCTGTAATTTATTCAGTGAATGTATAAATGTTTTTTGTGCATGTTTGTGAGGCTCATCCATGATGTACCTATGGCTACAGATTGTTCCTTTTTACTGCTGTATAGTATTCCTTATTTGGATGGCCATTGTATTCCTTATGAACATCTGAGTTGCTTCAGGTTTGGCACCATGCATAGTAAGACTCCTATGAACACCCCTGTACACGTCTTTTGTTGTACCTCTACACAGATTCCTGTTAGGTATGCACTAGGCGTGAAACTGCTAGGTCATGGGGTATATTATCTACCCTTCTAGGGTATTTTTTCTAAACTGGTTGAATCAATTTACATTCCCAACAGTGACATAATGATCTGTCTTTCATATTATGCATCTAATCTACCTGCAACTGAGCTGCGCATATGACATAAGATGCAGTCAAGTTTCATCTTTTACACTGGGATATGCGATTGGTCCGTGACCAAGATGAAATAAACCATCTTTTCCCTGCTTCTTTACAAAGTTATCTTCACCGTGAATAAAATCTTTGGACTGCTGTGAAGATGCTTCTGGACTCCCGATTCTGAGCCATTTGTCTTACTCGTGTTGTAAACCCATACTGCACTGTATCATATCATCATCGTAATCTCCACTTCATAAATGAGGAAACTGAGGCACAGAGCCATCAAAGAGCTGGCCCATGTTAGTATGCAGCTTCCTAGTGAAAACGGAACTCGAGACCTTGGCTTTATGCACTTTCATAAATCCTCGAGGCTTCTCAAACTGAACAGTTCAAAGAACCAACCTTTCTTCCCCCACTACCTGCAAGTGGGTTTGCATGTAGTCTTCGAAAAAGGAAAAGCAGCTGCTCCACACTGCGCATGTACAGGTAACCGAGGTCCCCCACCCCACCCCCGCACAAACACACATAGAGCCGTCAAATACTAAGTCTCACCACTAGAGGGCGCAGCCCGATGTCCTGGACCATCAACCAATCATCTTAGGTCTACGCCAGGCAGTTCAAAAAGAATGTACAAAGTTGAGTAAATCAGTCTTTGTGCAGGACTTTGACAAAAAGAGACAAAACAAGACGGATCTTTCTTCTTAAATATCTTCGGGGAAAAGAGACACCTCCCACTTCCTGGCAAATGTGTGTGTGTCGTCCCTGGGCACTTGTAAGAGGTCCCGTTAAATCTCGTCCCCTAGTGTAACCCAGGTTCTTTTGTTCTCTGGTTCTTGGAAGCAAAGGGCAGGTGTTCGGCATCGTCATAGCAACCACGGTTCAGAGGTGCTTTTAAAGAACAAGCCGCAAAGCTCTGAGCTAACCAGTTACCTGTTTTTGCTTCTTTAGTGTCATACAGGCTTCTTTGATTTCTCTGCAGTTTCTCGGTGTCCCTCAAGATTTTGCCTCCAGTAACTTATCCAATGTTAGGTTTATTTCCTAGTTGTTGGATGTTACTGTTAATATATCCAAGCAACAAGTTTGGATATCACTTGGCATAATAATTCATCTCTATCAACTTGACGATAACACAAATGGTGCAGAACAAAGACAACACAGCAATATAGAATATGCTTGATGTTTTAAATTTGAAAACACAAAGCAACATTGCACTTCTGCTTTCATTAAAACTACTAAGTTTAGGGCGTGGTGGCACATACCTGTAATCTCAGCACTCTGGAGGCTGAGGCAGGAGGATGGTTCTGAGTTCGAGACCAGTCTGGATTACAAAGTGAGCTCAAGGCCAACTTGAACTGCATAGTGAGACCCTGTCTCGAAAAAGACCTCCCTAAAAAGTGCTAAACTTAGATAAACAAAATCTAGGTGGCAACAGGAAGATAAGAAACAACTGATTTGTTAGGTTTGGGACATCAATTACTTATTTTTTATTATTGGTATGATTATGAGAACTTTAAGGGCTGGACATTTAGCTCAGTGGCATAAATACCTGACTGGCAAATGTGAGGTTGTGAGTTTGATCCTGGTACAAAAAAAAAAAATAGAGAGAGAGAGAGAACTTTAACCAGTGAGTAAAATTTTGTATTCACTCAGACATTTATGGAGCACATATCACATGTAAGACTCAGCACTCAGCATGGTAATACATGCCTGTAATTCCAGCACTTTGAGAAGCTAAAGCGAGTGAATCACAAGTCGGATTTAATTCCCAGTACCACAAAACAAACAAGTAAACAAACAAACACAGGGCTGAGTGTTAAAGAAAGGCAAAATTAGCTACAGACCCTACTGTTCAGAGTAATAGTTGCAGACATAGTAAATGTGCTTACCACATCCTAGAACACTATCATCTGTACTCTAGTGAGAAAGAAAGTGGGAACAAAGAGGTTAACTAGCTTATCCATGGTCACAGGAAATAAAAGCAGAATCAGGAGTTCGAAAGCAGAATCAGGAGTTCGAGCTCAGCTACTCCAGTGTGTAAGAACTATGCCATAACCATCACACTACGCTGTCTCTCAAGGTAGCCTAGTGAGGTAGAGATAAGTGACTTAATCACTCAGCAAATATTTATTGAGCAAGTATTACATGCTAGGAATGCACTGCTTAGTAGCATGGCCTCTGTCCCCACGGAGTCTACAGTTATAGCATTATGAAGTGCAGAAGCACTTTTGAAACTGTGTAGGAAAGAACTACTTCCTTACAGTATATATTCCCTTGCTAGCAAAGCATCAGTCTAGTCAGAAAGAGGGATAGAAGAGGAGGGAAACAGAAAAACAAAAGAGAAGTGCCACTGAGTCATCCAGTAAGCACTTGAAGAGGGGATTAAAAACTAAAGACAGAGCCAGGCATGGTGGCACACACCTATAATCCTAGCACTTAGGAGGCTGAGGCAAGAGGATACCCAAGAATTTGAGGCCATCCCAGGTTACATAGTGAGTTCAACGCCAGCCTGAACTATGTAGCTAAACCCTGTCTCAAAATTTTTTTTAATTAAACAAAATTAAGGACAGAGTCAAGCCAGGACTGGGAAAAGCCTTGAAGGTCCTCGTCAAACAAAGACTCTAGTTCTCCTTACTCAAATAATCTTCGAGTGCTACATGTGAAGCTAGACCTTGGAAATACAAGTCATGGCCTTGCCCTCCAGGAGTTTCTGGTCTAATGAGTCAGACAGTCAACAAAGCGAGACATCCCAGCACACGTGCCCAGGTCAGAGTGCAGTGGGGCACTATGCAGGGAGGAGACAGCGAGAAAATGGCATCTGTTCTGATCAATGATCCAGGGTCAACAGGAGTTAATGTGTAGGGTGGGGCAAGTGAGCTGTGCTGAGAGAATAGCTCCTGCATTGCCCTAGACATGAGACACAGCTATGGTTGCACTGGTTTGACTTTATAGACTGGATCCAATTAACACCACTACATTGTTGACCAAGTTACCAAATTCCTCCACTGCTCATTCCTGAGATCAGGAGAGGCTCTAAAAGCATGGGTTCAGTAGACGATCAAACTGAAACAGATCATTCTCCACCCAATAACCCAAGAGCTCCAGCCTTAACTAGGTCACTTAGTCTACCCTTGACACTGCTGCTGGTATTTACAGCTTCTCTTGCCATTCAGCCAGTTGGCCAATCAATCAGTAAACCCTCTGCCAGACTCCAGAAGAATCAGAAGGCTCTACCTGACCCCAGGTCAAAGGACAGCGCCAGCCACATCGCTGAATCCTACATGGAATTCAGTCTGTGCCACAGGGTACCACTGGGACCACTAAAAGAATAATAAATTCATATGACAACATTCTGTCTCAGCCCATATACTCTTTCTTTTCTTTTTTTGTCTTTTTTTTTTCATTGGTACCAGGGATGAACTCACGACCACACACTTGCAAGGCAGGCGCTTATGCTGCTCAGCTAAATCCCCAGCCCCATCAGCCCATATGCTCTTCATCCCTCCTCCAAACCCTCTACTGCTTCCTGGAAAGGCAGTTAGTTTCCCTCATTCTAGACCTGCCACTGGGAAATGTCAAGCGTCTCAGCACAGACAGAAGCATAGCTTCGTGAGTAAAAAGCAGAAGCTCTGAGATCAGCATAATCTGAGGGAATCTTCTTACTCGCCTTATAACATAGAGCCTGTCGCTGGACTCTCCGTTGTTTTATCTCTAGAGTGAGACTAAGCGCAGCTCTTTAGTTGGGCTTTGTTGAATGAATGTAACTGGGTCGGGTTGACAGCCCAGTTTGTGTAAACGGATTATTGTCTAGCTTGGCATGTAAGATACGCGCCTCTTTTAGAAATGGCAGGTGAAGTGGAACCACATTCATGATGATACTATAAGAAAAAGCTGGCTGCAGTTCTGTAAATCACTGGTCAGAGTTGCAGCAACCTCCTTCAGCCGAGGCAGCTTATTCCCGGGGAGGACGCGAGTAAAGGATCCGCAGTCCCTCGAGACAGGCCCTCACGCTGTCCTTGGAGAGGAGCCCGCCTGCGTCACTGGCTGGAAGACCCGCTCCTCTCTGGCGGGAAGACACATGGTGGGAACGTGAGGGGGTGGGGTCTGACCAGCGCCTCTGGGCCAATCGCCGGTCGGGAGACATGCAGCCAATGACAGAATTGCATGATGCTCTGGAGGCGGGGCTTCGCTGAGGAGCTGTGGCGTCATAGGTCACTGGGCGGGTTATGGGCGTGTCTCACGGCACCGACTGGGGCGGAGCGGCGGGAGCTGGAGCAGTCTGCGCAGAGATGGCGGCTGCTGTGGGAACTGGGACAGCCGCTGCCCCGACGCCAGTGACCGGCGCGGAGGGCGCCTGCTCAGTGCACTGGTTCCGCAAAGGGCTGAGGCTCCACGACAATCCAGCGTTGCTGGCAGCCGTGCGCGGGGCGCGCTGTGTGCGCTGCGTGTACATCCTCGACCCGTGGTTCGCGGCTTCGTCCTCCGTGGGGATCAACCGCTGGAGGTGAGGAGCCGGCTGCTGTCGGGCGGAAGGTCGAGTCAGTCCCTTCCGCTGATGAAACGGGCGGGGTGCCTGGGTAGTAATTCAACCTCGTGCCCTCCTTGGGCCAAGGCGCCACCTGTGACACAGCGCTTTCTGCATTGTCACCCTTGGGCCCCACGACATGCCTAGGATGAAGAGAACAGAGACGTGGTCCCCACCGTACAGATGGGACCCCTGAGTCCCGCAGGCGCAGAGTGGACCTGCTCAGAGACCGGCAGCCAATGAGTGGCCCAGCGGGGACTTCCTGGGGTGGGTTCTAAGGAACTTGCACAGGGAGAGTCGTTTTTTGGTTTGACAGCAGGAAAAGGTTTCTGCTAGCCAGGCAGGCGCTTATGCCGCTGAGCTAAATCCCCAGCCCACTCTGCTAGCCTTCTTTAAAAGAGGAGTTCATTGCTGGGCTCCTGGAGGTCATCCATAAACCACTGGTTTATTTGATCCTTTCACCCATCCTGGCTTCCTCCACCCTGAGTTGGGCCTCTGGAGATGTCTAGAGACCCTGCTTAGCCATTACTAAGGCCTTCTCCCTGTTTTATAGGTAAAGATCCCAAGGGCATCTTCAGCTAGAGGCACTTTTTATCCTGAGTGCCAGAGCACTACTTAACTCATTTTAGAGAATCCCTTCAGCCACTATGATCTTACTAGAAAAAAATTTTAAAAGGAACCTAAATGTTACTGTCTTCTGCTTCCTCTCATGAGCTGATTTTAGAAGACAACTGAGTCTTTATAGATTAATTTTATGAATTGATGTGATAAGGGTTAGGAGGAGGAAAGCCAGGTATCAAGGATCTCTTTGGTGGCTATCAAGAGGTGAAATCCTTTTCCAGGACTGCGGAAAGGATTAACAGGTAGCTGGTACATTTTCTCTATAACTGTATTCAAAACAGAGTTTTGATACATAGTGTACCCATGAGTATTTACGACCCTACAGCAGTGGCTTGGTTTGTTTGTACTATAGTGAGAGGTGTTTGCACATGGTCTTGTTGCCCAGAGAGGCAGGATTTTTTCCCCCAGGAAACAGTGGCTCTCAGGCCTCCATTCTTTTTTCTCCAAGGTATGTGCCCTGCTAAGAGACTTGAGTGCTCCTAGCAGTATGTCTATTAAATGCCCTCTCCTGCCCCACTTCTACAGAGGGAACAACTAAAGATAGTCCTGTGGAGAGCTTGCCCACACTGTTTTCAGTCTGCTCTATTGCTCTGACCTGCTCCAGTTTCTATAGATAGGAGGTTGTTGGGTTGACAACCTCAAATTAGCATCTCTAGTGTAGACATTAAACCAGGTCTCAGACTTTGTCCCCCTCTGTTTGGCAGTGTGCCAACCACAGCCAGCCTAAATAAAATCCAGCTTTCTGTTTGTCTCACTGTTGTGAATGCTACATTTCTTTTACTGGGTTTTGGGACACTACAGAGAACTGCCTACTCCTTTGTGGCAGTGGAGATTAAAAAGCAACAACAAAAACTCTGTTGCTGATTAAACTCCAATTTTACTAGGAATTGTGTTTATCGAATTTTTGCGGGTCACCTTTTTGTGGTTGTGCTTTTCGGGAAGTGAAGGAGACAAGGAATGTAGCAGCCCTGGTGCCTGAGTTAAATTCCAAGTCAGGGCCGTGCAGGAATGCACACATTAATCTAGTGACTATTTAATAAGTTCCTAATACCTGCCAGACAGTGCTAAGGTGCTGTAAAGGAGGAGGTGTATGTCTGTGTTCCCAAAATTACCAGAGCCTTTTTTTTTAATAGAGAAAGACATCTAAATAACCATAATTTAGTAGAACTAAGTGTTGTGAACAATGAAACAGGGAGAAGGACTAGAGCAATGGCAGTCAGTGTTGGCTTGGGAGTCCCCTAAGGGTCTTTAAAGGTGGCAAGTCCCCCACCCCTGTCCTTACTGACTTGTTCTGGCCTTGACATTCGGGTTTCTAATGAACTCATTACAACAAAGCCTGAGAAGCACAGACCTCGCCAGGCAACCCGGGAAGTATGTTGCTGCAGCGCCTTGGCAGGAAGTCTAATTAGTGCTGGCATCCCGGAGAAAGAGGTGAAAAAACAGGAAACAGATCGAGTTTGGTAACCACGCGTGGGCCTGGCAACAGATACACCACTACCAGCCCCGCCATTCTTGCTCCCAAATGGATTGAAGGCAGGGCGGCCTTCTGTTTTGTGCCCAGGGTTGGCAGTAGGGAGGCGCGCTGGTGCCAGCTGACTGTACCTCTGCATAATTATGGTATGTGTAATCTTCCGTGGGCTCTTTCTGGATCCAGGGAGTGGTCTAGGAGAACTGTGCTGCGTAACATCCTAGCTCTCAACTGCTTGAGGTGCTCTGCCTGAAAAGCACCTCCAGGGAAGGTGGGGGTCCCTCTGTAAGAAGTGCAGGGAATCCAGATCTGTCTTTGTTACCCTCCTGCATTTCCTAACTCCCACACAGCATTTTTCTGCAGATGGAATTAAATGAAAATAACCATGGGTGGCCCTCTAAAGGAGGACAGAGAAAAGCAGCTGAGAGGAATGCACATTCACTGGGTTGGAGGGGCCAGCAGTAGTTGTGGTAGGAAATCTGTGAGCTCATTGGAATTAGGAATGTTCTCCACGCACTGATGAGCCCTTCACCCTTTTCTCCACCCCCACCTTTCTCACATTTGCTGCCTCTGCAAAGAGGCTCTATAGCAAGAGCGAGCAGAAACAAAAGGATATGAGGAGCTTCTGGATTCTAAAATGGGTTCTCAAAATAGACCTTTACAGATTTTAATTACCTTTTCCCCAATTGTAACCAGGACAGATGTTGGCAGCGATTCTCCTCACACTGTATTAAAATCATTTTGTCCCTGGCTTTATGCTGCATGTCTTGCAAGAGCTCCTGAGAAAGAGGGAGCTGTAGAAATAAAATGTGCTGTCTCAGCCCGTGTCTCCCAGAATTTGTAAATGAGGTAAACTGGGAACTCTTCAGATGCCTGGTGAGAATGAGCCTGTCTCTTCCCAAATGCTGGGAGTTAAACTCCCAGCACTGGGCTGTTGAAGGGGGTGGGTCTTCCCTGGAACTTGGGCAGCGAGAAATTGAGGACAGTAGTCTCCTGCTGGGGAGATTCTATTTCTTGGAAGCATTTATCTGGTATCCAGGAATAGTGCTTTACTGTTCTACTACCAAGGACATGTGTCTGTTTGCCCAGGAGGGATGAAACCTCCATCTTTGTCTGAGTTGAGGAGAGGATATATTCTGAATAGTATTTAGAATTTAGTCTGTGCCATGAATTGGGTTTTAATTTTCCTTTCCATGAGGCTAATGTTCTCTTGATGATTTAGCGGAAGTTAATTTATCCGTTTATCCAATGTAACCAGGCTGTGCCAGGCAGCGGTATATTATGGTTAGATAACCTCGGCTGGAAGCGGAGGGACTTGGTCAGAGACGGTCTAGACCCCACAGAAGAACTCACTGTTTATTGTCCTCCCTCCCCCCATTAACAGCAAATAAAGTCTGTCTCAGAAATCCACCATCTACACAGCGGTGTTCCCTGGTAAAGTACTGAACCAGAGGATCTGCCTGTTTTATTCCAAAGGGCTAGCCGGCTGGAGTCCCTGAATTCAGAGTCGTCTGTATTTTTGGAAATCCCAGTTTGGTTTTCTCCAGTCTGGCTGCCTCTGGCTCCCGGAGACTTACATAATGTAATTCGGTTGCACGTGTTGTCTGATCCAGAGGGTGAGCTTGGACTGCTCCCACAGGACCGTGCGCTCGGAATTGGGGCCATGTGAGCTCAGCTTAGAATTGTCAGGGGTGAGGTGCCAGACCTCAGCACCATGCCTCCAGTGCCCATGTCCTTTGGACATCCCCCGACTGGAACAGACAGAAGCCAGCGTGTATAGAGGAGGAGGGCTCTGAGGCACAGCGCGGCTGAGTGAAAGAATGTGCACCCCTGCTCCTGGAAAGCTTTGCCCAGTAGCTGCCCTGCTCCAGTCCCTCTGACTGTCACCTGGCAGACCTGAAAAGTCGTGGGATAGTGGGCCGCCAGGAGCCGCTCTGTCTCCTGCTTGTTGCTTTCTTCCTGGGAGCCCGGCAGAGCCCTCTCTTCCCAGGGCTTATGCCAGGGTAGTTGAAAATCACAGAGCATTTCCCTAGGGCAAGAGGCAGAAAACCAGGATCTCAGAGAGAGGAGAGAGAAAAAGCAAGCAAGAGAGTGCACAGTAGAAACATGTGAAGCAAGGACAAAAGCCAGAAGCAAAGTCCATTTCAGAAATGTACAAATGAATCACCAGGTGATCTTGTAAATGCAGGCTCAAGGTCTGGGATGGAACCTGAGGTTCTGTGTTCACAGCCAGCTTCGAGCCTCAGACCACACTGCGGGGACCACACTGGCCTTTGGGTTGGCTGTGCTGCTCCCTAATGGGTGAGCCCTGGATAGCATGGCTCCTTGCTGCCTGCACAGAGACAGTGGATCCTGGTGCCCAAGAATGAACACACTGGCTAGGTGTGGTAGTGCATGTCTTAATCCCTGCACTCAGGAAGCTGAGGCTGGAGTATCACCATGGGTTCCTGGCCAGCCTGAACTACATAGCAAGACCCTGTCTCAAAAACAACAACAACCAAAAAACCCCACTGACCCAGACAGATCACCTGGGGACAAAGTCTGGTGATGTGCAAGTTGTTTACTCTCTCTGTGCATCAGTTAGCTCATCTGTAAAGTGGGAATAAAAATAGTACCACTTTACAGTGCTGTTTGAGAACTGAACAAGAACGTACGCAGAATGGTGCCTGTTGTACTTTGAATGCTTATTAAATGCTGTTGCCAGTATTGAATTGCTGGGTTCGGAACTGGGCCTTTGATCCTTCCTGTCCTAGCTGTAGACATCTCTGTCAGAGTGACAAGGCCTCTCTTATGTGTACTAAGAGAAGAGCAGAGAAGCTAAATAAGGCCTAAAAATAAAGCTCCTTGGAGGCAGATTGCAGCATGTTCCAGAACCTAGATTTCGTGTGCATTTGAGCCTTACTTATGGCTTCAAATCAGAGTCTGGTGCAGCCTGCTGGACTGCATGACAGGACATTTTAGGGAGGCTCAGCTGCAGGAATCTGCCCAAAAGTTGTGGAATTCAGATCACCACTTGTCCCTAGGCTTCTACCTGATGCTGGTTTCAGGTGACAGACTTTTCATGGGCCTCTTATTGTCCTTCTGGGAGGAGTAATAAGACCTAGAAAAAGGCAGTGTCACATAAATGGTTAGCATCGCTGTCACATAAATGGTTAGCATTCAGTGGGTGTCAAGTTCTCAAAGGAGGAATTCACAGAGGCGGAGCTTCCAGTTTGCACACAGACACATTCACCTGTCAGTCTCCCATCATTCACCCTGCTTGCTGTGTATGGCTAACATGATGCTTTGACCCGGGCTGGGGATTTAGCTCAGCGGCATAAGCACCTGCCTTGGCAAGCAGGCGGTCGTGAGTTCGATCCTTGGTACCGATAAAAATGAAAAAGACAAAAAAAAAAAAAAAAAAGTGATGCTTTGACCCCAGTCCAGGGCTCAGCTCATGCTGGAATGTGGGCCTGCCACTTTGGTCATGGGATTGTGCCTTATTGCACACGTCAGGGGCAGCGGCCGTGGCTGGTTCTGGTTACAGCCTGGGCACTGTCACTGCTCGAAAAGCCACCAGGGGTCAGGGACTATGATGTGCTGCAGAGGAGGTACAGGGTTTCGTTGCACTGGAAATAAAATCAGATGACTCTTGTTGTTGACAGAGTTGAAGGATGCTGGGGAGAGGCCAAGCTAGATAGCAGGCTCCTCAGAGGACCCGTGACAAGGCAGGGTGCCCTGTCAAGACATAGCCCTGAGGAAGAGCAGCAGAATGTCAGCATGTGAGGCTTGCATCCATCATGGCACTGGATCCCAAGCTCAGGGCTGCAAGTCTCACTCTGGAGTGCACCGGCGTGGCACTGGAAGTCTAAAAATGCAGCACAGAGAAGGAAACACAGAGTCCGACCGACCTGGTACGGACTCTGACACTTAATAAAGCTGTGATCTTAGATCAATAACCCCGGACTTTCTCAGTTTCCTCATCTATACAATGGGGAAAGTACAGTTTGCTTCAAACTGCATTTAGGAATTAAATGAGGAAATGCACTTAAACAGCATGACAGATGTAATCAGATTGATAATCTGAGGAGAGAAGCAGAGGAAGACACTTCTTACTGTGCACCACACTTTTGTCCTTGGGGTTTTGAAACACATGAATAGTTACCTGGTTAAAATGTTAATTTAAAAATATCTACCGGAGGTACTCAGCAAAGGTTAATTTCCTGTCCTTTCTCCTGGTGATCCCGCTCTCCTGCAGGGGCTCCTGAATATCCATCATGTCCTCCCACCCCAAACCCAGCATGTTTGGTACTAAGTCCCTTGTCCCTCCTTGATGAGAACTCAGCAGTGAGTCTCCTGCCGAACAGAGCCCTGGGCCTGAGGCCCTAGCCCAGGCCGTGTGTCACTGTAGTGTTGGAACGCGCAGCCCAAAAAGCCTGAATGCAGACAGGCAAGGGAGTCTCCAGCCCAGGCAGGCAGGACTTTGGTTCTGTTCCTCTACGGATGGCACCTGATTTTTTCCACGGCATGATGTCACAGACTTTTTGAAGGTGGCTTTCTCATCCATTTTCTCATCTTGTTTTCACACTAAGGCAGATGGTTGCATACCTCCCAAGAGGCCGAGAGCCCAGAGGACGCTTGTGTCTGATCACTCACTCGGAAGCAGAGCAGGAAGGGCGGCTCCTGTTTCTCCCCCTAGTTCTTTGTGCCACACTGGGCTGAACGTTTTTCTCACGTTACTTGATGTTCTTCTCATAGCAGTTCTGAGTACTAACGTGTCAGCATCTTTGTAGGTCGTGGCATAATTCCTTACTGCAGAGGAGAAAACAGGCCACAGTGGTGCAGGCACTACCCCAGTCACGTGACCAGGAGGCAGCAAGGCCAGGATTCCCTCCAGGCCACGCTGACCCACTGTTTCGTCCCTCCTGGCTGGGACCTAGGCGCCCTGCTTAGCACAAAGTGGGCCAGTTGCCTGTGTTATACGACCACTCATAAGGCCTGTGTGGACCCTGCAGGTTTCTGCTGCAATCTCTGGAGGACCTGGACACGAGTTTAAGGAAACTTAACTCCCGCCTGTTTGTGGTCCGGGGACAGCCAGCGGATGTGTTCCCAAGGCTATTCAAGGTCAGTGTGCGGGCCGCGAAGATGGGGAGCCGCTGCTCCTGGGTTTGCCTGCAGGCGCAGTGAGATGCTGCTGTCACTGAGGACATGGAAATGGCAGGGCTGCTGGGGCCATCAGATGCTAGGGAAGTGGGAAGCAGAGGCGGCCCATGAGCTCGCAGGCAGGGTGGAAAGTGTGTTAGGGAAAAACTTGTGCAAGGCCAGCGTCTTGTTGGAGAGCTCCCAGCTCAGTCCAGACACGCGATGCAGTCATTCATTCCACTCGGGAGCCCTTTAGATGTTTTCCTTAGATGGCTTCCTGAAATGTTTTCTTAGCTCAGGCCACTAAGATGTAATAGGGCTCCCGCGATGCCAGGACTTGCAGGGTGGGGTTTCCTGTCTAGTCAGGGCTATTTCCTGTCTTACTTTTCATGGCTTCCAGGGGTAAAAGTCACCTTTCCAAGGGAGCCTCCCTATTTCTTCCCAGTGATAAAATCTTCACCAGGATGCCATATAGACTTCTGTGTGTCCTTTGGGAATGGCAGCCCATTCGTTCCCAGTCCTTTCAAAAGCATGTTTTGAGGCCAAAGAGAAACAAGTACTCATAGGCAGAGGCAGAAGAAGCCTGATGTAATCATTCACTTCTCTTCCCCATCCCCACGGTTATCCATGCACAGACAAACCACTCAATAACTAATAACCACCCTCACCCACCGGGGACTGGGCCAGCACTATGAGTCCAGAGCTCACATGCACTCACCCACCCAGCAGCAGTTCTGGGCGGCAGCACGGCTCCCCCTGTTTTATGGGTGAGGAACAGTTATGGTCATAAAGCTCGTAAGTCACTGATGCAGAGCTGTGTCCTCACCCACCTTACCACAGAAGATATTCACTGGGCTGGGGTGTAGCTCAGTGGCAGATTGCTTGCCTGGCAGCCCTCTACCTGGGATTGATCTTCAGCACAAAAGGGGGAAAATATGGACTTTCTTATCCCTCTGCATTGCTCCTCTCTTCCCTAGCACCTCAGAAGCCAACCCAGTTACAGCTAAGATAGCAGACCACTCACTCAGTCAGCCAGCCAGTGGGTATTTATTGAGCTTCTACTATGTGCTAGGCCCCATACCAGGTAGCAGATAGTGATGATGAGTGATGCAGCATGGTTTCTGCTCTGGGTTCCCACAGTGATGGAAACCAGGCAGGTAATGGGCAACCTCAATGCCCTATGATACATGCTCTGTTGGAAACAGGACGTGGCTCAGGAGAATCGAAAGAAGGAATGAGGGTATTAATACTCACAGGGGCATGTACGTAGTGGTATAGTCTACATGGTCCTGTAAGCGTAGTACCTGGGCTGCAGGAAGAGCTTGGTAAACGTGTAGTGCTTCCTTCCGTGGGTGGGGGATTGTTCGCCTGCTGAGGACCCACTCCCCCTAAGCAGGGCTGTGTCAGGACCAGGTCAGCCTGGCCATGCCTGGGACACTTGCTCTCTAGGTCAGAGCCTTGAGCGACCACGACTGGGCTGTGTTCGTCTCCCTGCTAGCTGCCCGTCAGGCTCTCAGGACGTGTCCCTGTAGCCTTTCACTCTTTCGCTGGGCCGGCTTTCCCTGGTGTTGCTGTGAGGCCTGGGCATCCCTACCAGAAGTGACTCAAGACTGAAGAACGCCCCTCAAGCTTCCGGCTCCTCTGCTCTAATTTCTCCTAACTGGGGCTAATGCTCGCTCCTGCATCCCAAGCCAGAGAGCTGGAGCTTGTTAGCTCTGTTTGCTCCTGGCCTCGGCAGCGTTGCTGTGGAAACAGTGAAGACACTTCACATAGCATGAGTTTGCCAAGAAAACTAGGCCACCAGTTTGCAGGCTATGAGGAGTCCTGGGAAAGGCTTGCCGAGCAGATGGGAGCGGCAGTCCTGTCCCCTCCTGCCTCCACTGTGAGTCCCTGCCTCTTTCTGGATGACGGGCTCCCCCGGGGGCCCTGTATTTATAGCTTCCTGGGGTGTTCTCCTACCCTGGGGGTACGGCAGGTGCACAGGGCTCCCCGCTCTCCTGACGACATCACTGCGGTGCCACTCGCCTTGCGGCCTGCTTCCTCACACTTCCTCAGCCTCAGTGCTCGTCACTTTAATCAGCATCCCTTGTGTGTCCGCAGCCGTTCTTCTGGGGCCAGACGCTGGCTCTGTCTGCTCCCAGAAAGGAGGTCCTGCCCAGCAGCCCCACGTCCCCACACAGCACTGGCCGTGACAGAGTCTCTCCCTGCAGGAATGGGGGGTGACCCGCCTGACCTTTGAGTATGACTCCGAGCCCTTTGGGAAGGAGCGAGATGCAGCCATCATGAAGATGGCCAAGGAGGCTGGTGTGGAAGTGGTGACCGAGAATTCTCATACCCTATACGACCTGGACAGGTGAGGAGTGGGTCAGGTAACCCATCATGAGCAGAGCTCCGGCAGGTTTGGCACAGGTCCACTGGCTCCTAGGGTAAGGCATTTTCTAAAGCTGGGGCCTCTAGAGCAGGTCACGAGAGCATATAACCTGACTGGGCAGCAAGGAGGCTGATTAGACCAGCGCATGGGAGGTTGAGGGACCCTTCTTTTTTTTTTTTTTTTTTTGTCTTTTTCCTTTTTATCGGTACCAGGGATCGAACTCACGACCACCTGCTTGCAAGGCAAGCACTTATGCCGCTGAGCTAAATCCCCAGCCCCAACCCTTCTTAAGATCTTCATAAATCTGCTCCTCACTCAGCTGCTGCTGCTCCTGTGGGGCACTTTGTGCACCCCACTTTTGTCATGCTGTCAGTGCTGCCCTCTGTCCTAGACAGATCCCTGGTCTTGTAGGTCTAGCATCTATACCAAGGGTGAGCCCCCGCGCCCTGCGGCCCACACGCACGCGCACACACACATACACACACACACCCATTCTCTGGGTGTACAGGCCATGCATCTCGATGTCACTCTGGGGCTCTAGAGATCTCTGCAGGGACCTGGTAAGGAGAGAGCAACTGCCTGCCAGTGACAGACCTCTGTGCCTCCTCCCCTTTTTCCTCCTGCTACTGCCAAGCTGGCAGCCACCACTGGTCCCTGCCCCCTCTCTGCAACTGGGCCGCCCGCCAGGAGCCGGGTCACACAGCTGCGCACGTGAGCCTGGCCTCAGAAGGAGAGGCGGTGCAGAGCTCTTCCTCCAGACACGTGCCTGGGTGGGGGACTGCAGAGCAGCGCCAGCCGAGTACCTTGGCTCACAGAGGACCAGCAGAGAGCAGACAGGGAACAATGCACCCGCCAGCCAGGCCTAGCATAAGCTGCTGCTTGTCCAGCCGGAGCCCGGGAATCTGGCTGCAAACTGTTCCACTTTATCCTAGTACGAACAGCCTCCATTCTCATCCTGACCTCCCATATCCACTTTTTCTTCTTGCATGAGTCCAGTTAGTTCACCCACTCGTGGAAAACACTTTGCAGACCACAGTGCTATTTAGGTGTCAGTTGTTGCAGTTCCCCCCCCCCCCCGCCAACCTCCCCATTCTAACAAGCAGGGCCATCAGCAGGTGGCTCTTCTAGAAAGGAACACGTTCGAAGCTCTCCACACACTTCTCCAAGGCTCTTGCTGGGGAGAGAGGGCCATAATGTGGTCAGATTGGCCAAAGACCGAGAAGGCCAGGGGGACTTTCCTGTGGCTGGAGAGACACGGTCAGTCTCTGTCTTTAGGTGGCTCCTGAGGACCCTGCTTTGGCCCTGCCTCCACGCAGGCCCCTGCTCCAGCTCCTTGGGCTTCATTTTCCTCCTTGGTAAAGTGGAGATGCAGCCCCCATCCCCCTCTTCCCCACTTGGATGGGACCTATGAACGGACGAGGAGAGCTACCCCCAAAGCCTTCAGAGCAGAGTTGGGGCTCTTTTGGGTGGGCAGGGACTCAGAACAAAGGGCCTTGGGAGTGATGCCAGGTGTGCTTTGGGTCCCCAGGATCATCGAGCTGAACGGGCAGAAGCCGCCTCTTACTTACAAGCGCTTTCAGGCCATCATCAGCCGCATGGAGCTGCCCAAGAAGCCCGTGGGCGCGGTGAGCAGCCAGCAGATGGAGAGCTGCCGAGCGGAGATCCAGGAGAACCACGACGACACCTACGGCGTGCCCTCCCTGGAGGAGCTGGGTGCGTGCGCCTTCCCAAGCCCTATTCGGGTTTCCTTCTCTGTCAAATTAGTGCATGTTATAGGTTTGAAAACTACAGAGCGACAGAGTGGAAATAACCCCCGTCCTCCCACCTCACCCCCATAACCACGTTAGTTTTGGAATGTATCTTTCCAGTCTTACTGCTGTGCGTACTCGTGCAGTCTTCTGTTTTGGCTCCTGCCACTTTGGTGTTCTCCCCTCAGACTGTACAGGTGCTCTCTGATCGGGCACCAGTGGCTTCTCAGTACAGGGTGACCAGCACTGTCTCTGCATACTGACTCTGTCCCCCATCCCCCGCCGTCTCTGGATCTGAACAGAGTTAACATTTCTGACCTGGGAACCACACTCACTGCCTGCTCATCCGAAAGGGCAAGAAGTCCTGGATTGTTCCCACCTGCACGGAATAATGAGGGCCTGGGAGAGGGAGGGCAAGGGAAACAGGAGAAAATAGTGACAGCTAGGAGAGAACAGAGATGACCTAGAAAATCTGTTGGTTTCAGTAGCACCAAGAACAGGAACTGTGGTTCCATTCTCACAGAGTGTAAGGAGAAGGTCAGTGTGTCTGCACTATGAGGGAGCTGAAGTGGCCTGACCTCCAGGCCCATGACTGGCTCCTCCTCTTATAGGGTTCCCCACTGAAGGACTTGGCCCTGCTGTCTGGCAAGGAGGGGAGACAGAAGCCCTGGCCCGTCTGGATAAGCACTTGGAACGGAAGGTATGAGCCTTAGAACTGCAGGCGCTGGTGCCTGTGCAGCAGGGGGTACGGTGCAGGCTGTGTCCCGTGGTGCCTCTTAGCGCCAGCTGGTTGGAAGGTGAAAAACTCCTCCCAGTGGTAAAAATAGCAGCCACAGCAGCAGGAGCAAAAGCAGCTACCATGTAGAGGCCTGCCCTCCTGCTGGTCACGGGGAGGTGCATTTCTGGGTTAAACACCTGCTTGCATTATTGCCTTTAATCGTTCCAGTAACCCTGCCAGGTAGGTGTTAGGTACCTCATTTTGTAGGTTAGGGAAGTGAAGCTCAGCAAGGTGGAATGACTAGCCTGAGGTCACATAGTTGTTAAGTGGAGGGTGCAGCACTGGCCTGTTGGGTGGAAAGCTGCCACCAGACTGCCTTCCTTATACAGTATCTGTAGGTGGACTCACCGTACTAAGGGTATCTGTTCACAGAAGTCTGTAAATTAATTATGCTGTGTTGATGGGCCCCCCACCTTCTGCTGGGTCCCCTCCAGGGCTTTGGCTTCCATTTGCTTGGACCCAAAGAGCAGATTTCCCCTTCTCTTGGTGTGAGAAGGAAAGAGGTGCTGGCCTGGAGGCGCCTCCCAGCCTGTGACTGGGGGCAGCTGACCTCGAGCTGTTGGTTGTTAGTGCCCTGCCCCAAAAGCTGGCGCTAGAGTCACAGTTTCTTCTGTTGCTGCTGGGAGGGCAAAGCATTGGCCTGGCAGCCAGAGGACAGCAGAGCTGGAAGCGGCCCCCCCAGGCTGGAAACATGAGTCCAAGGGCCGTGAGAGGCCCAGCTTTCCCTTGTCAAGAGCTTTCCCCTGCAATTCCTGGGCTCGGTTTGGAAACACAAGTTGGGGCAGAGGGGCAGAGGGTGGAGATGACAAATGGAATGGCGGAGTAAAAGGTTAAAAATGAAAAGAGCTGATCTGTGTCCTCATGGGTTGTAGTTTTTGTCACCTTAAAGGCATTTTATAGAGGACTCCCCTCAGATCACCAAGTCAGGAGTTAATTGTGCCCATACACCTGGAGAGCCTCTTCTGTCATGGGGCCTTAAGTCATGGACCCGTTCTGGCCCAGGAGTGGCTGGAGGAGATACTGTGTCCTGCACACCGGGAGAACAGAGGTGCTAGGTGGATGACAGCTGAACCTGCCTAGGTTTGTTTTAACTATTTCAGTCTCCAGGTCTGCTGTGAGCAGCTGCTCACACCAGGATATCCTGGCTGCTCCAAAGACTGCCAAACGTGACAGGAGTGGAATCCATCTCCAGAGTCTACTGGAGATGGTGACGTTAAACGTGGCTGATAGATGCCCTTGGGGTTAGGAAAGGAGCAAGAGGATCATAGCAGTCAGTTCTTGTCTGCAGCTGGCTTTTGAGAAAGGGAGCTTTTTAACACACACAACCTGGGGTCTAAAGGGAAGCTTTCAGGTGTAGCTGGGCCAGGAGTCCAAAGAATGTTGTCGGAAGGCACCTGCATCTCTCGGCTCCGCTTTCCTCTGTCTTAGTCCCTTCTCAGACAGACTTTCCTTGAGCAGTGGCAAAGATGGCCACAAGCTTGTCATTCATCTGTCTGGCAACACCAGAGGAAGATGCATACCTCTTTCCCACAAGCTTCAGGAAAAGCACCAAGTAGTGTTTCCATTGGCCTGGCCTGGGCGTATGACTTTCCCTGACTCGTCAGTGTGGCTGGGATCGGTTGCTTCCCTGGCACGTTGGGGGTGGCCTTAGTGCAACTGAGGCAGGTTGGTTCTTCTTAGGAAAATAGACGCTCTTACCAAAAAGGGCAGGGGGGAGCGGGCAACTGTAGGATCCTTACCTCTGGGTCACACACAGTAGATGAGGCCAAGCACCTTGCCGTGAAGCTCTTCGGATTATATACTGCAGCCCCCAGGGGTGGCACACTATGCATTAATGACCACCGGCATCACAGACAGAGACATGCGGGCTGTGTGTGCCCAGTTGGCTTCCCAAAGGGTCAGGCCCACGTCCAGTCCAGCCTCTGCTATGAACTACCTATGTGCAGGCCAGCACAGGACAGAGGGACTCACTGACCTGCACCGTGAATGTCCAGTCAGCATGTCCAGCCTGGGAACCTCCTCCAGTTCACTGGTCTGGGTTTTTCCACAGAAAAATACAAAGGAGAAGACAGGTCACTGTGACATAGCACCAAACTTAGAGGAGAGGCTTAGAGGAGAGGTTTATTTGGGCAGCTCGGCAGAGGGGCCTACGGAGAAGAGCCGCTCATGCCGTAGCACCAGGAAGCAGACAGAGGAGGAGAAGAGAGGAAGAGACCCCAGGGACCCCACCTCCACCAGCAAGTCAGCTTTAGCCCCCTGGTCCAGCACCTTCGAGAAGCCCTGTGAGCCCATGAGGCCCTCGGGACAGTCTCCATTTAAACAATTAAAATAAATTTAACCTTTAAGTTGTTTCAATACCAGTACTAAAGTGTAGCATATAGGGCTGCATGTAAACATTTCAGGTGGGTCTAGAAGCCATTGTAAAAGTCCAGGGAGTCACTGATCAGGGAAGCAGGCGATGGTTCTGGAATGTTGGGCAAAGTCCTATTTCTTGAACTTTAGTGGTGGTTGCATGGGTGTTGGCCTTGAAAGAACTCATTAAGCCTCATGTTGGGGTGGATTTCTGTCTGTGTTTCATTTAAAATAAAAAGATAGAAACGATTTGAGGTTGGGCGTTGGGGTAGCCTAGCTGTGCTGACAGACACCCAGTGTCTGTGCCTTTGCCTCTGTGGGGACCAGAAGGAAGCCGCAGCAAACCAGGTGGGGGGGGGGGGACGGGACAGGCTCCAGCTGCAGGGCGCACAGAGCAGAGCGGGGTGCAGAGGGAGCTGCTGCGAGAGGCAGAGCTGAGAGTGGGTTTTTCTGAGCTAAGTGAGCTGTTTCCAGATTTGGGCCTCTGTGCTAAGAGCAACAGGATCACTTTGGTCCCAGCTGGAACATGGAAGAAGGGGCCTAAACGCAGGGGGGCCAGTCAAGGGCTGTCACATTATCTACATGCAGGCTTAGCTTGGACCACGATGATCACACTGGAGAATGTGCTAGAGCCTCTGGTGGCACACACCTGTAATCCCAGCACTTGGGAGGCTGAGGCAGCAGGATCTCCACCAGTTGAGGCTAGCCTACATTATGTCGTGAGTGCCAGGCCAATCTGAACTACACAGCGAGACCCTGTCTCAAAAAAAAAAAAAAAAAAAAAAAGAAAGTTGGGAAGAGGAAGCTGAGCTATGAAAGGCTCAGAACAGCCAGCAGCTAGGAGACAGCCAGGGGAGTGTGGAATCGCTGAGGGCCAAGGAACGGAGGAAACGAGACCTGGGCAGGCGGTGCAGTGCTGCTGGGAGAGCCAAACATGCAAGGACAGAAACATATGAGGGCTGCCAGGCAGCACCAACACATAGCAGCTGGCAAAGGCCGGAGCCAGGGGCTAGGAAGTGGAGGAGGAGGGGATGGAGGGCGCATCTGTGAAGGAGGAAAGGAGGCCCACATACCGGCAGGCAGTCCTTTGTTCTTGGTTTCATTTAGTTTGGTTTGCAAAAAGGAACAATTAGATCCCCTTTCCACCGTTCTGGGAGGGGAGCTATGGAGAAGGAGGGCCAGTGGGCAAGTGAGAGGAAGAAGAGGGAGGAGGAGGAGAAGCAGGAGAGGCTGCAGATTCAGCTGTCCCCACCTACTGTCTCTGTGCCCGCCCGCAGCAGAGGGAAGGGTGGCGTCTGGGGAGCGTGGAGGGGAGCCTGGGAGTGTGAAAGGTGTGCAGGGTGTCAGGAGGTGAGAAGGGGGAAGAGGCTGGAATCCAGGTCAGCAGCCCACCCTCGACAGGGAGAGCCAGGGAGCCCTGAGCTTCCTTTCCCCAGCCAGGGAGCTGCGGAGGGCGATGAGAGCGCCTGGGACCCGAGGCAGGAAAGCAGAGCGCAACGCGGGGCAACTGATGGGAAAACAGGATCAGTGACATTAGCTGGCCAAGGGCCCCAGAATAAATGACTCTGTCTGTCCCCAGCAATGGCTCGGGAGTGCCCTGCTTCCCCGGCCACGGCCGAACAATGATGAGAAATTGCTTCTTGAACGAGGAGCAGCCGCGGCAGCCTCGTTCGGAGCAGGAGCAGAGCGAGGAGCGCTTCTATCCTGTAAAGCAGGAGGCTGTCTCTTCCTTCTAGATAATTACAGCTTGTTCAGTGCCTCCAGAATTCTTTCATATCTCATTTAATCCCCCGAGGTGGGAAATTTTGTCCTTATTTAATAGATAAGTAGCTGAGGGACTGAGTAACTCATTCCCATGAACCAATTTCTTTTTTTTTTTTTTTTTTTTTTTTGGTCTTTTTCCTTTTTATCGGTACTGGGGTTCGAACTCACAACTGCTTGCTTGCAAGGCAGGGGCTTATGCTGCTGAGCTAAATCTCCAGGCCCTAATTTCTTTTCTTTTGAGGGGCGAGTGGGTGGTACTAGGGATTGAGCCCTGTTCTTCTCACTGGGCTTCATGCCCAGCCCTTTTTATTTTTTATTTTAATGTCTTGAGGCAGTCTTGCTAAATTGCCTGGGTTAGGTTAGAACTTGCAGTCCTGTCTGCCTCAGCCTCCCAGAGCGCACCACTACACCTGGCCTCAGACCACAGATGAAGTAGATTCTCAAGCCAGAGCGCGGGCCCCGAGTCCACCTAGTGGTTCCATATCAGCTCAAAGCATGAAGCAGCGGTAGTCTCAGTGTTCAAGTCCTGACCCTGGGGTTTGCTGCCCCTTGGCCAAAGCCTTAGCCCCCAGGAGCCTCAGGCCTTTCCTTTGGTCATCTTCTCCCTCTCCTGCAGGCCTGGGTTGCCAACTATGAGAGACCCCGGATGAACGCCAACTCCCTGCTGGCCAGCCCCACAGGCCTCAGCCCCTACCTGCGCTTCGGCTGTCTCTCCTGCCGGCTCTTCTACTACCGCCTGTGGGACCTGTATAAAAAGGTGAGCTAGAGGGCCACATGCCCTCCCATTTCTGGCCAGGTGGGCCAGGCGCACTGGGCCCTCAGTCACCCAGCAGAAGGCCTTTCCCTAGGCCTGCCTGGTCCAGCGGAGTTGGGGAAGAATCAGTTTCCAAGAGAGGGCAGAGCCAGGCATACCACAGATCACTGATTTAAGTACACCCTCATTTCCCTGCTGTGTGAACACACAGGCAGCAGATATGTTGACAGCAAGGTCCTCAGGGTGGGGACACAGAAGGGGAGGTTGGAGCCAGCCCCAAGCAGAAAGCAAGGGAGTGGCCAGAGGGGCCGTGTGCTGGCCATGCCCAGGGACAAGAGGCGGATGGCCCTGTGGTGAGCCATCCAGAAGAGAAGATAGCATGCCCAGCCTTTCCATTCCTCAGGTGCCTGCATCTTTTAATGTCATTTCTCCATCTTGGCCAAAGCAGGGCTTTGTGGCATGGGGAAGCTTTGCGGGCTTGGCAGGGAGTCTTGTGACTGTGGGGACTCGTTACCTGTGTGGAGGATCGATCTCTTGATTCCCTCATTGTCCCAGTTGCAGAGTATTTTATATCACTTATTTAGCTACATCTCGACTAAGCAGTTTTTTGTGCATGCCAAGATAAAAACTCCCCTGGACTTTCTAGAAAGTGGAGCCAAGGGCCTGGGGATTTAGCTCAACAGCATAAACGCCTGCCTTGCAAACAGGCAGTCGTGGGTTTGATCCCTGGTACCGATAAAAAAGGAAAAAGACAAAAAAAAAAAAGAAAGAAAGAAAAAAGAAAGTGGAGCCAACTGGGGAGCAAGGACAAGGATCATGAGCAGTTTGATGGAGTTTGGGCCTGTGGTGGATTCCAGGGACAGCGTCCCTTTCCCTGGCACCCCTGGTAGCCGTTGCTTATGCTCAGAGCAGTGGCCTGGCAGGCAGGACCTGGGTGCTGAGTTTGTAGGCACCTGATAGCTCTTGTTCTAGGGCAGGCACTGTCCCTCTCCTGGTCTCGAGGTGGGGTGGGGTGAAGGCTCGGATGAGCTGAGTGACATGGGGCAAAGAGCAAAGAGCTCGCGGGCCTTCACAGCTGCGTTGCCCCCCCCAGGTGAAGCGGAACAGCACACCCCCCCTCTCCCTGTTTGGGCAACTCCTGTGGCGAGAGTTCTTCTACACAGCGGCCACCAACAACCCCAGGTTTGACCGCATGGAGGGGAACCCCATCTGCATCCAGATCCCCTGGGACCGCAACCCCGAGGCCCTGGCCAAGTGGGCCGAGGGCAAGACAGGCTTCCCTTGGATTGACGCCATCATGACCCAACTGAGGCAGGAGGGCTGGATCCACCATCTGGCCCGGCACGCAGTGGCCTGCTTCCTCACCCGCGGGGACCTCTGGGTCAGCTGGGAGAGCGGGGTCCGGGTGAGTGCTCTCTCAGCAACAGCTGGCCTGTCCTTCCCGCTCGGGCCCAGCAAGGGCGACCCGCCCCTACCGGGCCGGGGATGGGACGGGATCCCTGGGTGCCGGAGACCCTCTCAAAACTCTCTGTGGCCTGCCCTTGGCAGAAGGCCCTGGCTCCTTGGGGTGCTCTGGCGACCTGGGAGGACCTGTGGCAGGGGTCCCCAGGAGGCTGATTGGGCCCCTCCCCGTCTAGGTATTTGACGAGCTGCTGCTGGATGCGGACTTCAGCGTGAACGCGGGCAGCTGGATGTGGCTGTCCTGCAGCGCTTTCTTCCAGCAGTTCTTCCACTGCTACTGCCCGGTCGGCTTCGGCCGCCGCACGGACCCCAGCGGGGACTACATCAGGTAGGGTGCAGGCCGGGCTGTCTGACTTCTGCCCGCGGCGGCCTCCTCCTAGGCTGCAGGGCTGGCGCACTGACAGATTGTCCTGTGTGTGTTTTAGGCGATACCTGCCAAAATTAAAAGGGTTCCCCTCCCGGTACATCTATGAGCCCTGGAACGCCCCAGAGTCCATTCAGAAGGCAGCCAAGTGCATCATCGGGGTGGACTACCCACGGCCCATCGTCAACCATGCCGAGACCAGCCGGCTCAACATCGAGCGCATGAAGCAGATTTACCAGCAGCTCTCACGCTACCGGGGACTCTGTAAGGAGCTGCGGCACTCCGGCTACTAGCACCCTGAGGGCCGAACAGCACCTGCAGGCCCAGAGGGTAGACGGGGGTCTTGAGGTGTCTGCTGAGGGGCTGAGTACCCTCTGCCTGGCTGTGAAGTTGACCTGACTTCCTGGGACAGGAGTTTGCGGGCTGGACTGGCCTGGACCATCCTTGAGTATCTAGGGGCAGAGGAGGAGACTCAACCTTGCTGTCGTGGTCCTTTCCCTCCCTGTTTCTCGTACTCTGCAGCTCCTGGGGAAATGACTACTTCTTCCTCTCCCGCAGGTCTGTTGGCATCTGTCCCCTCCTGTGTGGAAGATCTCAGCCACCCGGTGGCAGAACCCAGCTTGAGCCAGGCTGGAAGCAGCACCAGCACAGGTGAGTGGCAGCACCCGGCCTGTGGCCTCCTGTGGCCTCCCACAGCCTGGGAGGCTTTACCTCCATCACACCAGGCTGAAGCCAAAATGAGCACTCGCCTGATGAAGCTTATATTTGCCAGGTAGACAGGTGGGAAGGGAAGCAAAAAGCCCAATTCAGGTAACAGGTGCTTGGGACAGTAAAAGTGAGGAGCTAGGTAGAGAGGGCGGGCAAGGGGGCTTCCTTTGGGACTTGTTTTGTTTTGTCTTGTCTCACTGTGTATCCCAGGCTGGCCTTGGACTTGTGGCAGTCTCCTACCACAGCCTCCCAAGTGCTAGGATTATAGGCATGGGCCACATAGCTGGCTCCTTTGGGTCATTCTAGAGTAGAGCTTTCAGGGAACACCTCTTGGAACAATGGCTTATTCCCTACATAATAAGCAGGAGCCAGGCTTTCCCAGAACTGCAAAAAGAACGTTCTAGGCAGAAGTATTTACAGGGAAAAAAAAAAAAACAACAACTCAGAAACAGCAATGAGCAGATCCCATCCACTGGTCAGGAAAGGGGCCGGGTTGGCCATGTAGCAGTGTCAGTATGAGAAGTCAGGCCCAGCTCCTGAGGCTCCGTGTCAGTGGTCTTGTGAGCACTGACATGCACTACAGCCCCACAGAGTTTCCCCAGCCCCCGTTACTGTGGGGAGTAGGTGGTGTGGGGCAGGCTTGGGGACAAGAAGGTGGGAAGGCGGTGGCTGCAGTGTCCAGGCGGGAGGCAGAGGCAGTGAAAAACAGGTGCACTGCACCGTGAAGCTCTCTGCAGCTCTGGGATGATCAGCACAGTAATGAGAAACTCGAATGGAGTCTGAAGCTCTTTCTAGTCTGCCTGCCAGGTGGCTCTGAGGGTGTGACCTGCTCATTGCCACTCTGTAGGCCACTGTGGGCTTGCTCAGGGGAAAGCTCACCTTCAGAGCAAGGACGGTGGACGGGCCCAGCAGTCTCAGGCTTGGGGGCCCAGTAGACCCCACTGCCAATGGGCCTGGCCGGCCCTCAGTACCTCAGGGCAAAGTCAATTCTGCAGGAAAGCCAGGCCGAATCCTAGGCCTGCCTGGCCCAAAGCACTTGGGGAAGTTGGTTTCCAAGGCGGGCAGAGCTAAGCACACCCTCAATCAGCGATCTAAGTACACCTTCATTCCCCATTATGTGGACATGCAGAAGAAAAGCAGGCCTCAGGATATGACTGTAGAGTGGCAGGTCTGTGGCAGCAGGGCAAGGTCTTCGGGGTGGGAACACAGAGGAGGAGGTGGGAGCCAGTCCCAGGCAGAAGGTTGCAGGGGTAGAGAGAGGGATGGCAGGGCTGCAGGTGACCTGGGCCAGAAGAGCAGGGCTGCACAACAGTGGGCGGGCCATCATGGCCATGTGTGCCACCTCCGACCCCTTAACGTGCTTCCCTGCAGGTCCCAGGCCACTGCCCGGTGGCCCAGCATCCCCCAAACGCAAGCTGGAAGCTGCTGAGGAGCCACCTGGGGAAGAGCTCAGCAAACGGGCCAGGGTGGCAGAGCTGCCCACCCCTGAGCCACCGAGCAAGGACGCCTGAGAGTGAGTGGCAGCAGGACATGAGGTGGCAGGGCAGGAGGGAGCGGGGTGCAGGGTGGAAACCACAGCCAGACACAGATCTGGCACGGGACTGCACGATGTTTAGCATTTCAGCTCAAAATTTCCACCATCCTGACTTTTATGCCTTCTGAAATTTGAAAGGTCGTTTAAAAGTTGAAGCCCTTAGTTATATTTGCTAGCAAAGGAAGAAACAAACAATATTTTGGGTATTTTCTACCTGTTAAAGTGACGCAGATCTACAAAAAGAAAGGAGATGGGGCATGAAGCTGCCCCAACCTGCTGTGTTGCGCGGGTGGCCAGCGGGGGGCAGCGTGGACCTTTGGAGGAAGGGACCGCTGTGCAGCCGAGCCACCCACTGAAGACAGGGGCCCCACTGTCGCCCTTGCCTTCCCAGCCACACCTCCACACTGCTCATCTGTGTCAGCGCACATCTTTTTTGGAAACCTCCTGAATGTCATGTAAAACGTCTCCCCTGCCCCCAAAGCAGGAAAGGCAGTTTACACTTTTCTGGGGAATGATGAATTGCTGTCCTCTCTGAGTCACCCTGCCAGGCTGTTCCCTACGTGCCAGTTCTGAACCAGTGGAGTGGAGGCTTCTCTGTGGAGCTGTTTGGTTGTTCTTTCCAGATCACACTCACTTCTGGCCACACCTGGCCACTGGTTGGTGTGCTCAGGGAGACAGTGAGCAGTTGGTGATGGTCCAGGCTGCCTTTCGGTTTGTTTCTGCTCTTGTTTTTTGTCTTTTGTCTTTTTGAGACAGGGTTTCACTGTGTACTTCAGGTTGGTCTTTGTAGCCCAGGCTGGTCTCGAACTTGCAGGGATCCTCCTGCTTCAATCTCCCCAAGTGGTAGGATTACAGTCGTGCACCACCACGCCTGGCCTTGCCTTTCTGGGCCCTGGGCCCTGTCAAGACACTGCTGATAAGCAGACTGTCTGTCTTACTTCTGGGAGGACCAGTGCCCGGTCACTGGTTCTCCCAGTTATCTCTCATCCCAGTGAGCCTAAGCAGAATTCATTCTGTATTGCAAGTCAGCAACTTGCAAGCTAGTGCTCTGGTTTCAAAGCAAGTTCAAAGAATAGAGAGGATAAGTGTTTGGGTAAAGTTGCTCATAAAGATGGTAGTGTCCAGTACAGCATGAAATTGTTGCCAGCAGATGTGTGAGGAAGTGAAAGCCCAAAACATGTGCAATGTGGTGTGACGGGATTTTCTAAGCAGACGTGACGATCTGCTTAGAAAAATGGAGGCAGACAGCCTGTGACTCTTAGACAGGTGCGGCCTCTTCAGGAGATCCAGGAGAGCTGCTGATGGGCTGCCGTCATCTGAAGACTCGGCATGCAAGTGGGTGCTGGGACCTGAAAAATGAGCTGGACTCAGGCAGCCAGGGAGGCATTTTGGACAAAAAATAAGTTAAGGCTTACATGAATTTGTGCGAACTACTTAGCCACTGTGAGAGTGTTCCCTTATCTATAGTGAGGTTGTGGTAGCGAGGGTTAAATGATTGGATTTACCTGTCAGGACTGTGAGAGCCTCTAGTGCAAGTGGACCGTCCCTAAGCCAAAGCCCCGATGTGCTCTGAAATCCAAAATTCTTTGAGCTCAGTGTGTGGTTCATGCCTCTAATTCCAGTACTTTGGGAAGCCGAGGCAGAAGTATCACAGGTTCAAGCCCAGCCTGAGCAAGACCTGTCTCAAAACAGAAACAATAGAAAAAGGCTGGGAATGTAGCTCTGAACAGAGTTCCTAGGTTTAGTCTCCAGTACCACAAAGAAAAAAAGATATTTTGGATTTTCCGATGTGGGATGCTTGACCAATAATATTTATGCAAATATCCCAAAATTCATAAAATTCCAACATCTAAAACAATTTTGGTCCCTAGTATTTCAGACAAGGGAATACTCAGCCTGTAACACAAAAGCAGCCATTTGAGTAACACCAGTAGGTGTGTATCTTTCTCACCTAACCAGAGGCCCGGAGGGAGTGATCAGGCGGTTGGGCCCATGGGGAACTCGCTGGGCACAGAGAAGCCATGCGGGACAGAGCTGGTGAGACTGGCATCAGGAAGCTGAGCGCCGGCTGGGCCTCACAGAAGGATGGGCGGGCAAGTGAGCCGGTTGAGAGGTGAGATGGTGATACCAAGTGACCACTTGGGGTGCAGTGGGCATGCTGGTCTCTTGCCTGGTAGTCCAGGAGACTGTGTGTTAGCCTGCTGGGACCTTAGGGACTGCTAGTCACTTTCCTGTGTCCCTAATCAGTGGCTCAGGGGAGGCTGCCTAGGACGAGAGCAGGGCTGGGAGGTCAGAGCGCAGGGCAGGAACAGAATGTCACTGACTGCCAGCCGCTGTCCCCTGCCCTGCTCGCCGCATGTCCATGTTAAAGGGAGACCACCCAGACCACATGTGCAGAGCCTGCGTAATGCACTGCACAGACGGGGCAGGTGTCACTTGCACAGGCCTCTCAGTGCCTTTGACTGTCGCTGCTGTCTGACCAGAGTGGAAGCTGCTGGGCCCAGGTTGGCACAGAGTTGCATTGAGGGGGAGACTGTCCCCTCACCCTCTGGTCATGCTTAGCCCCGCGGGTCGGGCTGGACAGGTGGCCTTGGTGAGATGCCGTAGGTGTGAGGTGCGTGTGATCGTCCCCTACCCTGCCCGAGGGCTCCCCCAGGGCCGTTCACGGGCTTTAGCTCCGGTGCTCTGGTAGCTGCCATGCCTCCCGCTGTGGCGGTGCACAGATGGGCTGTCATTTACAGTTTCAGCTGCTGCTGTGGAAAGCATGTCTGGTATCAGTCGGTTTATGCTCACCTCCACCAGCTGAACGTTCTGCCTCTAGTTTTATTTTGCAGTGTTCACTAAACTGCAAAAACAAGCCAACTTCCAAATAGGTAGCTCTCATTTCGGCTCTTCCTGTAATCCCCGAGCTGCTGACTGCTCAGGATGCCATTAGGCTGGCGCTGTGCACAGGCTCTCGCTGGTACAGTTATCTCGGCACCGGGGAGTGGCGCGCCCCGCACTGCCCCCTCCCCCCCCGCCCCACACAGGTGCCCCGAGAGCTCCTGAGCTCGACTGCTGCAGACAAAACGTGATCCTTGGCTCCCAGCTTAAGCCTGGGGCTTTGTGGAGTGAAAGCTGGCTCAGGGACTGTCTTCACTGTCGCTTGACACCTGTTCAGTTGTGTGCTCTCTCCTCATGGGGCAGGCATGGGCGTCTGTAAAATGGACGTGGAGGCAGCCTGGCATTCACACCAGTGTCTCACATTCCCTGCACTTAATAAGTGGCCGCTCCCTGGCTGGGGCCCCTCCACTTCATACATGAGGCTGGGGTGCAGGAAGGCTCAGGGCATGCTGGACAGGGAAAGTGCCCCCGTAGGCGCAGCTTGACTCTGACATCCCTGCCCTCTCTCGGGCCTACATATGCACCTGTCCCTCAGGAATGGGATCACGGGCAAGAGGATCTGACAGATTGGGGTTTCCTGGCAGCATCTAATCGATAAGGCCAGGAGGGCATGGGTCCCTAGGAGGCCGGAGGGGGACGTCATTAGCATCCTTTCTGTTCCAGCTGCTTCCATGTCCCTGATACACATGACAGTAAACAAGGTGGACAAACCAAGTGAGTGATTTTGCAGCGCTTGCTCTCCGAGTTGATTTTCCCCTCAGTGCTTCTCCCCTGCCTGTTGTTCCCTTTCCTGTCGTGCCGCGTTATCATTTTCCTGCGAGGCCTCCTTTGGTTCGCCAGGCCCCTCCTCTGCAGACATGCGCCTGAGCCGGAGAAGGGAGCGCAGTTATCTGCTGACCGTGCAGCTGGAGTAGCTCACTGCGCTTGCTCCCCAGCCAGGACAAGCTGGTTCTCCTATGTGCTGGCGTTCTGAGTGGTAGCTTTGAGCTCATCATCAAGGGGCTTGGGTGACCGGAAGTTATCTGAGCCTGCCCAAAACTGACTCACCCCTCAGTGAGCATGGGTCTCTGTTATCATTGCATTTCTCTTCCAAGTGGAGGCTCCTTCACCCTTGGAGGCAGCCTCTCCCCGTGTGCATCAAAAACTGTGCCCATGATCCCTATGCACAGTGGAATGCTACTTAGCCAAAAAAAGAGTGAAATCCTATCACTTGGAGCAGGGATGATGCAACTGGAGATCGTTATATTCAGTGAACTGAGCCAGGCCCAGAAAGACAGTACCAAATGGTCTCACTCATGTGTATTTTTTTGTTCTGTTTGGAGAACAAGGTCTCACTATAGTTCAGACTGGGCTTGAACTCACTATATAACCCAGCTGGCCCCAGTCTTACAGCAGTCCTCCTGCCTCAGCCTTCTGAGTGCTGAGTTTACAGACATGCGCCACCGTGACAGGCTGGAGTGTTTTAGAAAAACTTGATTGCATGAACTGGCAAGCAGAGCAGTGGTGAGCAGAGGCTGGGAAGCTGGAGAAGAGGGTGACACAGAGAGGGGCTGGCTGGCGGGTAGAGGATGGCAACGCAGAGCTGCTCCCATGCACTGCTGTGCGGCCAGTGCCAGAGGTAGCAGCGGAGTACTGGCTCAGAAAGTAGGCGATGCTGAGCGGCAGGGTGGGGCTCAGGGTGGAGCACTCCCTGCCCATGCTGCAGGCCCCCACTTCCTCCTCAGCCCTGCCATGAGTGAATCAATGAACGAATAAATTAATTATGTTTAAAGAGCCGGGCGTGGTGGCTCACGACTGTAATCCAGCACTCGGAAGGCTGAGACAGGGGATCCTTGGGAGTTCGAGACCAGCCTGGGGCTACAAAGTGAGCTCAAGGCCAGCCTGAACTTCATAGTGAGACCCTGTCTCAAAAAGACAAAAAAAAAAGAAAAAATTATGTTTAAAGAAATCTATGTTTGAGCTGCTGGGAGCATTGCATGGTGCCCATAAGTATGTGTTGTCTATGTATCAGAAAAATTGAATCTTAAAGTATCTTCATGGATTGCCCCTCCACCTGTGCTAGGGCTCCCAAAGTATCCAGAGACCCTAGAGCACAAGCCCCTGGCCTAGGGATTCTTCATGTACCTCTCTTCCACCCTAAGCCCTGAGGTAGCGAAAACACCCAAAAAAAGGAGGTGCTGGCTGCAGGCCCCGGCACTGTGGTCTGGCCTCCAGCCCTGGAATGAGGGTGTCCTGCACGGGAAGATTCTAACTGCTTCTCCCCGCTTCGGCTTAGCACAGGGCGGGAGGGAGACCTGCGACTCCCTGCTCAGGCTCCTAGTTTCAGTAGATACACGGTCACCTTGGTAACAGATGCATTTATCACTTACGTTTATAGTGAGAAAAGTGTGACTGGGCTGGTACAGCACAAGTCTAGAGAGAAAAACTGTTGAAAATAATACCTGTGTTAAAGAACAAGGCATTCCTCGTATGAGAAGCTGAGAGAGTACATAAGATCCAAAATGTGCCATACATAAATGGGAGGAAACTGTTCTGAAGGGAAGAGAAACTGGGATGGGGAAAAGAGAAAAGAAGGAAACATATATATATATGTTTTTGTCTTTCCCTTCCTCTCGCGGTTCATTGAAAAGAAAGGGTTGTGCTAATACTGTTTGGACAGTTAAATGCCTCTATCTTGTACTATGAGAAACTAATTTAAAGACAGCAATACACAGCGTGTTAACCATTGTTACCCTCCTATTATCTTATTTTGAAATTTTGTTTCTCTTGAAAACAGAAATTTAGAAAAGAATAAGTCACTTGCTATTGCCTTGTTCAGGTGCACACTTCTGCTGTTTTGTTTTGTGTGCCCTTTGAGACAGTCTCACTGTGTAGCCCAGGCTGGCCTCAGGTTGGGGTGCTCCTGCTGCCTCAGCTCCTGCGCGTGCCTCACTATACCCAGCTTGCACTCCTACTTCTGCATCGGTTTCCCAGCTTGCAGAGAACAGGTCTGCTTTAGATTTGCACGTGACCTTAAAGGGTGGCATGTGACAGGCCGATTTGGGGGCTGTGGAGGTCTTTGACTACTAAGAGCATTTTCTCCTTTCCTGTAACATCTTGGCTCCCATTAATGTTGCTCAGCTGTTAGTCTTCGTGCTGTCATGCAGCTGGATTTTTTCTTTTTACACCTCTTAAGTCTTAATGAGAGCCATCATAACATAGAGATTATATACAGAATCTTTAAAAATCAAGGTTTAGAAACCCTGGGCTGCTTGTTGGGGCTGTAGCACTTATGAGCACTTTCTTCTTACACAAGTCATTTGTCTTCTCTGGGTCCAGTCTTCTCACCTGTGGAAACGGGGCCCACATCTTCAGGGTTAATGGGGTTGCAAGTTGCACTAGCCTATGTGGGCTGCCTTTCCCAGGTACCCCTGGGCCCGCGAAAGACGCCCTCTCTCAGTCCCAGGCGAGAAGTTCTCTCTGTAACCACATGTGGTTTTCCCTCCATCCTCCTAGGCCTGAATTTCCTCTTCTGTAAGCTCACCAGCCACATTGGATTAGGGGTTACCTTGTCTCCTTATTTTTCCATAATTGCTTCTTTAAAGGCTCTCACACTCACTTATAATCAGGAGGCTGCAGGTGAGGCCAGAGGACTGCAAGTCTGAGCCAGCCCTGTCTCAAAAATCATTTCTTAAAAATAGCTGGGGAGCTGCTGGGGATTTAGCTCAGTGGCATAAGTGCCTGCCTTGCAAGCACACAGTCGTGAGTTTGATCCCTGGTACCGATAAAAAAATAAATAAATGAAATAAAAATAAAAAACAAAAATAGCTGGGGAACAGCTCCGTGCTGGAGCACTTGTCTGGAGTGCACAATGCCCTAGATTCAATCCCCAGCACCACCATCAAAAAAAAGGTCCCTATCTCCAAATGCAGTTGCATGCCAGGGTACTGGGGTTAGGACTTGGACTCCAGGGGCAGAGACATGAGGGAGGATAGTTGAGACAAGTGGCGCCTGCTGCAGCGGGCTCAGTACACTGCACAGCACTGTTACGTGCGAGTCTGCAGGCCTTCAAGGAACACTGCTGCCCTGCGGCCTCTAGGACACCCTGGGCCTGTTTAACCCAGCAGCCCAGGACTGCCGGGCTCCGCTGTCCTCTGTGGTCCAGGACGAGGCTGTGTCTTCCCGCTGCCCAGATTCAGGCAGTCGGAAACCTTTCCAGTGAGGCATCGCATGTCGCTCTCCTGTTCCTCCAGCACTGTGTCAGGGTTCTTTTATCTGTATGAGGAAACCTGCCCGCCTGCTGGTTCTAAACTCAGTCCCTGCCTCACTCTTCTCAGTTACTGCTCTGTTTTTCTGATTCTCCATCTTTACCAGCAGCTGCTCCCTCTTATCATATCTGAGAAGTGTCACCCAAGGCTTCAAGTGAGTGTTGTGCAGCCAGAGTGTCCTCTGCTGCCCTTGACTGTGGGTGGAGATGTCAGGGGAGAGCTTGTCCTGCACTGGCACTTTGCAGGGGCGGTGTTCAGCCAGCCCTGTCCCCAGGGCCTCTGTAGCCACTGCTTCCCAGTTCCAGTTTCAAGGTCCCCAAGGAAGCAGCCAGAGGAGCTCATGTCTCTGAGCAACCAAGCAGCCTCCTAAATGTTCCTTTGCTCTTGTTTTTCTCTTCCAGCTGCAGAATCACCGCTCCATGAGCAAAACCTGGGTGTCCAAGCAGCCAGCGTGGCCAGAGTGCAACGTGCAGAGAAGCTGATGGCCGACCGAGACAGAGCAAGCGTGTGTGTGTGTGTGTGTGTGTGTGTGTGTGTGTGTGCATGCATGTTTACACTTTCATGATCCTGAGTGCTGCCTGGGCTGGGGGAGTGCCTGGAGCCGCCCACCAAGGCTATTGGGCATGGCCGTGACCTCGGCTTTGTCTGAGTAGGATGTAGTGTTAGGACCCTGCTGGGCACCCCCTGTCTTCTCATTAAACCGAGGAGCAAAAGGGCCACATTTCTGGCCCTTGTCTGAAGCATAGAATTCTAGAGGCAGCAGAATCCAGCTAAGTGCCCACTATCCAATGCAGGAGGCTGGGCAGGCTGGAATGGAGGGCTCTGTTCCTCCATCCTGATGAGCACCATCTTGATATAGTCACCTGGCCTGTCTTTTTTCATTTTCATTTCATTTTTACCGGTACCAGGGATTGAACTCACGACTGCCTGCTTGCAAGGCAGGTACTTATGCCACTGAGCTAAATCCCCAGCCCCCTGTCTTCTTTTCTTAATGGTGGTGGGGGTACCGGGAGTTGAACTCATGACCTCACACTTGTCAGCAGGCACTGTGCCACTGAGCTAAATCCCCGGCCCCTTATCTTAGACTCCTCTGCCACTGACCCTCCAGACGCTTCCTTGAGCATCTGGGGCTGAGGAGGAGGCTGCAACTGACCTGAAGAATCTGTACTCTCAGCTCGAAGTGTACCCAGATGCCTGACTGGGGCTATCGCCTAAGCAACACGTCTGCCCTTTCAGGCCAGGACCCCAAGTGAGGAACAGAGCCCCGGCTGTCACTGTTCCCCTCCCAGAAGCTGAACACCAGCACCAGAGCCTACACAGGAGCTATGGGGTCCCAGCTGGGCCCTCCACCGGGAGACTAGGCCAGGCAGCCACACTCCAACACCCCACGGTGCTCAGTGAGGACAGCTGACAGCCAGCCAGGGAAGCCAGCTCCTCATTGTTCTGTAGGCTTCCAGGGCCTGCCAGGGCTGGTCTGCATCCAAGCTGCCATGTCAGCTGTCCCAGTAGCTGGGCCCCGGGAGCTCAGACAGAGGGACTGGCATGGGCACTGCCAAGGGAGTTGGCAGAAGTCTGCGTGGTGTCCACAACCAGCACATCGTCCCTTCCAGAAGCAGTAGACAGGGGCCTGCACCAAAGCAGCCAGGCCTGCATTCCAAGGCTGTCACAGGCCCGAAGCGAGAGGGGCACTAAGAAGGACTGTGTGGCTGACTAGAGCAAGTCTTCCATCCCATGGCCTGCACTTGAGCCACAAAATGTGTGTGCGTGTGTGTATGCATGCATGTGTGTGTGCACGTGCAAAGCTGAAAGGCGAATTCCTGTTGGATTATGATTCTCACGTGTAACAATAAGCTGGCCTCCGGGCCTCTTCCGCTACCTCCCCTGTGACCTCTCCAGCCGTGGAGCTCTGAACTCCCACGGCCCACCCTCACTGTCCTCTGTCCTCAGACCTGAACCCTGGGCAGGCTCTCGTCTCCTCAGTGTCTAGCACACTGACAGGCTTCTTCCTGAGATGGCCTGTGGTTTTCTCAGCCCGAGAGCTGCCTCTACAGTCCCACTGTCATGTGTGTCACCCACATCAGAAATGTCCTGTAACTGTGGGGAAATGTCATAGGCGGTGGTGTTTCCAGAGAGCTGGGTGGGGCTTTCCCTCCCTCGGCCCCCGCAAAGAGGAGGGAGAGCAGGGCGAACCTGCAAGGTCACAGGCTGAGGGCCCGGTTCAGTATTTATTTAGCAGCACCTTCAGCTAGTGAGGTAATTCCCTCCTCCTGCCTATCCAATGACTCTCTTCCCTAATGTACAGGTTGGCACGACCTCCTGCCCTCTGCTATTCCCAGCAGGCTGGCCCATTCCCAGGAAAGCTTCCGGTGCAGAGGGGCAGTCCGTTCCTGGAGCTGTAGGAAGGGACATGGTGGCCTGGAGCTCTGTGATGACTCAGTCCTCCCTCCTGGCCCAGGTGGCCCTGGGGGCTTCCCCAGAGCAGTGCCCCAGACCCTGATCCAAGGACCAGCATGGGGAAGAGATGGTTGCAGGCAAAATGCACTTTATAGAGATGTTCTATTGCTGGGAAGCTGTGTTTCTCCCACAGTTTGTTTGTGAATATTCACTTGTTTTATAAATGTCTGATCTTGTCTGTGCAAAGCTGTGCTGTCTTCTATCCTGTGGGAGGTCTGGGGACCATAACGTGGTAAGGCTCAGCCTGCACGAAGCTTTGGGTCAAACGATCTTGGTTGTGCTGCAGCCAGGAGCCTCTTACTCCTCCCTGGAGCGAGGAGGTGCCCACATGCGGTCCTGCTGGAGAGAGCACTCTAGCCCCAGACGTGGTCCCTGAGTGCCACCCTGCAGTGACCCAGCCTCGCAGTGCACTTAAACCTCCAAAGCCTGGGCTCAGACCGCGGCCTATTCTTTACATCAGTGCAGCGCTTAAGCTGAGGAGGGCATGTGGGCCTCAGGCTCTGATGACATGGCTGGGATTGTTGCGGTCACACAAGGGGCCTGACTGTTGGCTGTGTCTCATGCCATCTGGCTGGAGGGCCGTGTGCATGGCCTTTCTGTGGGGAAGGGACTCCGGCACAGCCAAAGAAAACCAGCCTGCCCTGCACAGTGGGGGAAGGGAGCTGGACTCAAGTCATCTCCTTTCTTGGCTCTGCCCCAAAGCCCCTGCTGGCTTCCCCGGCAAGACCTGGACTCCCTCCCCCGGCCTCCCCCCCAGCTTCTGTGCAGCTTTGGCATGGCCCTGTGTGCCAAGATACCTTTGCTCTGGAGCAAAAGGTTCTGAAAAAGGGTTGTCCTGGGCACGCACACACACCTGCTTTCCTGCCAATATTCCGTTTCTCAGCCACGATAACCAGCAAGGTACCTTCCAGGGAGGAAAAGGCAGGCGCCACAGTCGCAGATGGTTAGTGTGAGCACCTCATGCAAGGGGCTTGAGCCAAAATAGCAGAAAAGGTAGAGCGACCACCTCTCCGGGTGCCAGTGGCAGGAAGCAGAGGCAGCCCAGGCCTTTGGCTTAGGTATGGTCTCAGGGCTGGTGCAGGGGTGCTGTTTACTGTAGTGAAGGTGCCTGCAGCTCCTGCTGGGCACTGCGTCATAGGACAAGGGCCAGTGTGACCAGTGGGCAGTTGGGGTTTGCAAACAGGACTCCACAGGCTGTGGAATGCACTCTGTCCCTTCTGCCCCATGCAGGGCAGGGTCTCTGCCATTCTCTCAGGTGGCCAGGAAGCAGATTTGGTGGGGGCTCTGTGACCCATCAAAGCCTGAGCGCTGGCCTTGGCAGTCCATTTTTCCTGAGAGGACCTAATCCAGGAACACAGTGCCCTAAGGGCCAGACTAAACCAGGAGAGAAAAGGCCAGGAGAAAACCACAGTCAAACCCAAGCTGTAGAGGGAACAAAAACAATTGAAAGATTTCCAAGAAGTTAGCAGGCTCAAGGGAAGAGGTCCCAGGTCCTAACAAGGAGAAGCCAGATGTGGGGAATCTGGGTGCAAATGAAGGGCACTGTAGGAAATGCAGTTGAGGTGCTAGGTGAGAAGAGGAGGATGCTGGGAAAGTCCTGCCATGAAGGAGGTGGGGGGGGGGGTTTTAAAGAGCTGAAAGGAAGACTCAGTTCAGCATTAGCAGCTGCTTGGACTGAAAGGAGTCTCGAGCCATCTTTATTGAGGACACATTAGGGAGTGTCCTTTAGAGGATCATCATCAAGGAAAAAGACAGGAATGGGGTGAGGCCTACATTGTCCATGGGAGCTGGGGTCACCTATCTCTCACCTCGCCATTTCTATGTCTGCTCGCCACAACCACGAGAGGGATCACTGTGCCCATTTCACAGATGAGAAAACCGACCCTGAAGCAGTGACGTCACTAATGCAGGGCCCAACTGCTTGTGCACTTGGAAGTCATACACCCCTTCCAAACCTGTCAGCATCCTCCATTCTTTTTCTGCCTTTCTCCGTGACCCTCGTTTCCTACCCATGTTGTCTGCTGTGAGGGGCCAAAGATGGGCTTGGGGGCCAGGGCCTTGTCATTAGCTGCCTGATCCCAGGCGTGTCCACCCGGGGACAAGCCACAGCAGCGCCGGGGGCTGTGCGGGCTATGCGGGGGGAATCCGGGTCACAAGTGGGCGGCCCGGTGGAGCTAGGGCGGCGCGGCGGGCCTTCAGCACCTCGGAGAGCGGCGCGGGCGGGGCGGGCGGGGCGGGCGGGGCGCTCGCGCGGGCCCAGCCACGCGCCACCCCGAGCCGCGCCCGCCTGCGCAGGTGCCCAGCCCGAGCCCGCGGCGGCGGCGGCAGCGGCGGCGGCCTCCTCGCCGCGCCCCCGCCTCCCTCGCCGCCGCCGCGCTGCCGCGCTCGCCGCTCCGCCCGGATGGCCAGGGCTGCGCCCGGGAATGGCGGAGCGAGAGAGCGGCGGCCCGGGCGGGGGGGCCGCGTCCCCGCCCGCCGCCTCCCCGCTGCTGGGGCTGCACATCGCGTCGCCGCCCAATTTCAGGTGAGCGTCCCGGCCGCGCGCCCCGCCCTGGGCCGGCCCGGGCTGCCCTCTCGGGCAGCGGCGTGCGGCCGGTCCCTCCAGGACGGGGCGCCCCCTGGCACCCCAGCCTCTGCTCCGCCATTGCACGTTCTGGGGGCTCGAGCGGGACTGGGTTCGCGGGCCGCCCCCTCCCGGCGCTGCGGCAAGGCTAGGTCCGGACTGCCACCTGCAGTGCTCCGGACTAGAGATGGCCCAGATTCTCGGGGTCACAGACACCCTGTGCTGCAGTCGGGAAGTCGTGGGCCCTCTGCAGGTGGGCCGAACAGCGAGGCTGGCACCGGCAGGATCCTCTGTGGACTCGGGCACTGCCCACCTGGCCAGGTGTGCAGGGCAGGTGTGGAAGGATCAGCCTACCAGGGGATGCTGGACGGACAGGGAAGGGGAATCTGCTAGGAGTAGGCTGTGAAGGCCACGGATTTCGGCCACGTGAGGGGCGATGTTGGGGGAAGGGGAGATGGCTGCTCCCTCCCCTAACTCCCCCCTCCTCCCCTTGGGGAGGAGGGTGTTACATCTCAGCCCAGGAGGAGGACACGGTGACAAGCCCCATTGTTTCCCATCTGAGGAGCTGGCACCTTCCCTTCCCCAGGGACCTCTGCCCCAGCCAGCCCCCAGCTGTGTTCCAGCATCAGCCCCTCCTCTGGCCAGGGCGTCTCTGGCTCCAGGCACTCAGGTGGGCAGAGACCCCGGGGAATGTCTAATGGCATTGTCAGGCCCAGAGACCTCTGCAGAATCCTTCAGCCCCGTGGGGAGCAACAGAGGGAAGGGGCCCAGGGTGGCAGCCTTGTGACAGCCCGGCTCCCCAGGAGTGTGCGCCTGCCTGCCCACCCCGGAGGCCTATGCGGTGGAAGAACAAGGGGCTGGCTGGGAACGATCTGGGTTCACATCCCAGCTTGGCCACTTCCTCACTGCAGGCTCCAGACCGGGTTTTGTCCTGTCTGGGTCCCATCTGTTAAGTGGGCTAATTAATATCGACTCCTGTCTGGAAAGGAGACGGTCACTATGCAACAAGTGCCAGCCACCCTGCCCCCACTGTGAGAGCTGGTTCCACCCCACAGCTAAGGAAGTGGGGGGCTGCCTGAGGACCCTGAGATAGACCAAGCCTGGGGCTATGTGTACTCAGTCCCCTGTGACCCCCTGCTGCTCCTTGTGCCCAGCAGGGGTTGGCACACATTTCCCTGGGAAGTATGGTGGCAGCCTGTGGCCCTGAAGTGTGTTTGCCAGCCCTGGGCAGGTGGGACATGGGGGAGGGGGGCAGGAGGCCAAAGGCTGGGCGTGGGCGGCCCTCTGGGACACTGTGACCCACTGTGGAGAGCAGGGCAGTGTGTGGGAAGAATGGGGCTCAGTTGTGAGGCCTGAGCCCGGCCGCACCCAGCCCCGCTGCCCTTTCTCCCACGCACCTCTCCAGGCCCCTGGCCCAGCTCCACTGCAGCCTACGTGGCCACGATGCTTTGTGACTGTTTGGTGGGGCCACCCGCTGGCCTGGCTTTTGGTCCTGTCCTGTGATCCATCTTAGCTGGGTGCCCCTAGACTGGTCACCTAACCCCTCTGAGCCTTTGTTCTTCAAGAAGCCAGCTTTGACCCCTGCTCAAGGTGGTCCCAACACTCAGCAGACGACGCGTACTGAGTGTCTCAGGGGGCTCGTGGGCTCCCAACCTGGGATTGCACCGGCCTCCAGGGAGGTGACCAACAGCCCCGCTTCTCAGCACACTGGCTTACTGTGTCATTAAGGACAAAATGTTACTTTCCCAGACAGTACAGTAACAGCAGTGATGCTAAATTCTAAAAGTCACCGGGCATGGTGATGGACACCTGTAACCCCAGCCCTCACGGGGCTGAGGCAGGAGAATTGCCTCAAGTTTGAGTCTACATAAGTGAATTCAAGGCCAGCCTGAACGGCATGTGAAACCCTGTCTCAAAAAAAAAAAAAAAAAAGAAAAAGAAAGAAAAGTTTTGTCAGCTCATGTGGACATCCCGTGTAATCACAGTGTTAGGAAGCTGAGGCAGGAGGATTACAATTTTGAGTCAAGCCCGGGCAATTTAACCACTTAACAAAACCCTGTCTCAAAATTTAAAATATATTTTAAAAGCTGCGTATGTAGCTCGGTTGAAGACCCAGGGTTCAATCCCCGTTACCACAAACAAAATAAAACTAAAATTTTTTTTAATTTTAAAAGTTTATCATTCGTATTATCTAAACAAAACATTATTCTTTTTGTCTTTTTCGTTTTTATCGGTACCAGGGATCGAACTCAGGAGGACTGCTTGCTTGCAAGGCAGGCACTTATGCTGCTGAGCTAAATCCCCAGCCCCACAAAACATTATTATTGTCCACACTTTCCAGATGAAGAAACCGAGGTATAGAGAGGTTAGGTAGGTGGCAGAACTGGGATTTGGACAGTCTGATTTCCAAGAGAGAGAGAGACAGACAGACAGACAGACACCTTGGAAAATGCAGGAAGCTTTGTGGAGGGGCCAGCGCAGTGTGGCCCCCGGAGGGTGGGAATGTCTGGTTTTTGGTAATTGGTTTACATACTCACATTTTTTTCTGATTGTAAAAATGTTCCAACCAGTGGTTACCTCAGAGTATGGACTGGGTCAAGGGATCTGTACTTATTTTTTTACG